ACGAAATTGGAGAAAGTGCAAAAATTTGCAACACGATTAGTCCTGGAACTGAGGGGTATGTCTTATGAGGAGAGGTTAAGGGAACTCAACCTGATGACACTAGAGGATAGGAGGGATAGAGGGGACATGATAACAATGTATGAAATACTAAGAGGCATTGACAAGGTGGACAAGGATCGAATGTTTCAGAGATGGGATACAGAAACAAGGGGACACAATTGGAAACTGAAAACCCAGATGAGTCATAGGGATGTTAGGAAGTATTTCTTTAGTCTTAGAGTTGTCAGGAACTGGAATAATCTGGAGAGTGAAGTAGTGGAAGCAAGTTCCATAAATAGCTTTAAGAAGAGGTATGACAAATATCATGGAGCAGGGAGAGAGTGAATTAGTATCGACCAGTGAAGAGGCGGGGCTAGGAGCTATGACTCGACCCCTGCAACCATATATAGGCGAGTCATGTTCTAGGTGAGTATATAGGTGAGCACACACACACACATGCACACACACACACACACACACACACACACACACACACACACACACACACACACACACACACACACACACACACACACACACACACTCACTCACTCACTCACTCACTCACTCACTCACTCACTCACTCATACATACATATCCATCCATCCATCCAACTTCCCCAGCAATCTGCACTTGCCACACCCACTTGTGCAACACCCCTCCTCCCCACTGTGGCCACATGCTTTCGCTGCACACCCAGCAACCATCCATGCCTGTAGCATGGTGGGAATTTTCCACATGGGAACCAACCTGATTTCAAATTTTTCCTGAACTTTATGGCTTGGTGGAGTATTTTGTGAATGGTGACCAAACCAAATTAAATTTTTTCTAAGCTTAGCTATTTCAGACAAGCTGAAACTGCAATATAAATACAATTAGTACTCTTATGAGAATGCACTACTAAATCAGTGTTTCAGTATTATTTTTTGAAGCACTGTTTAGGTTTGGAGGTCTAAGGAAAGTGATCCTATTTACCCCCTTATGTGTTTTTCAGGTAAGTAACCTGCACAAATTGTCAACATCATCTTTACTTCAGTGAAAAAAAAAAAGTGCTTGTCTGTACTTTCTCAAGTATGAGTCGAGTCCAGTGAACCCAGCAGCTTTCTTCGTATTTCACTGTCTTAGCAGAAACAACTTGTGGTACATGTACTATGCCTAAAAAAATCACCATATATCTTCATATTTCTGTCATCAGTTTCTCTTCTTTGCACATAACTTTTATCAACTTAATGTAGTACTGGTATTGTGTGTGGAAATTAGGAGAAGGTGTGGAGTTAATAAAAGTATTAGTCAGAGGGCTGAAGAGGGGTTGTTCAGGTGGTTTGGTCATTTAGAGAGAATGGATCAAAGTAGAATGACATGGAGAGCATTTAAATCTGTAGGAGAAGGAAGGCGGGGTAGGGGTTGTCCTTGAAAAGGTTGGAAGGAGGGAGTAAAGGAGGGTTTGTGGGCGAGGGGCTTGGACTTCCAGCAAGCGTGCATGAGTGTTAGATAGGAGTGAATGGAGGTGAATGGTATTTGGCACCTGATGAGCTGTTGGAGTGTGAGCAGGGTAATATTTAGTGAAGGAAATGGGAAGTACAATGCCTGCTCTTTAAAGGAGGGGTTTGGGATATTGGCAGTTTGGAGGGATGTGTGGTGTCTTTATACGTATATGCTCCTGAACTGTCATATTCTGAGCACCTTTGCAAAAACAGTGATTATGTGTGAGTATGGTGAAAGTGTTGAATGATGATGAAAGTATTTTCTTTTTGGGGATTTTCTTTTTGGGTCACCCTGCCTCAGTGAGAGGCAGCCAACTTGTTAAAAAAGAAAAAAATTGTTTAATTGCAATGTCCCATAGGAACTAACCCTTCATTGGAATTCTAAGTACATGTATATGAATTGTCCTTCCCTATAACTCTTGAATTTTTTATTCATAAATTCACAAATGAGACACCATGTGATTTGACTGCAAATTCAATACTTGAAATACTGTGTTATTGTGAAATATCTCTTGGGAAATGTACGTTTACTTCAGTGATGTGGTCATCAGAGTGACGCTTAGCACTAGAAAATTGGATAAATGAAACTGTTATACGTATAATCTAAATTCAGTGGACCCCCGCCTTACGATATTATTTCATTCCAGAAGTCTGTTCGGGCGCCGTTACCGAACGAATTTGTTCCCATAAGGAATATTGTAAATTAGATTAGTCCGTTTCAGACCCCCAAAAATACACGTACAAAAGCACTTACAAAAATACACTTACATAATTGTTCGAGTTGGGAGCTGATCGTAAGGCGGGGGTCCACTGTAATTTTTGTTTTTAACCGGCTGTATCCCACCAAGGCAGGGGCATTAAATGTTTATTAACAGAAATGAACACATTAGTCCTTAGTGTACCATGGTCCTGTACAACCCATCCAAGACCAAATTTGCGGACCTATAGACATGATTGTAAATTGACGGTGTACTGTACCATTATACAGTATAAACCACATCTCATATTGGAATTATTCCAGTAAAGTGGGACAATGTCACAATGCTGTATATCTCCTTTTCAAAAAAAAAAAAAAAATCTGTTGTCTGCCAGTTATCCTGGTGTGTTCAAATTCTTCTCTTGTAATAACTCCTGGTTTTATGGCACTGTTTCCTCTCTTATCTGAGAAAACTGTCAATTTAGTTAAGGTGCGAGATCAACAAGGCTGTGATGGATATGTTGGTCAGCAGGCCACTAGCAGCAACAGCCTGGTTGACCAGGCAAACACCAGACAAGCCTGGCCCAAGACTGGGCTCAGAGAGTAGAAAAACTCTTGGAACTCATCAAAGGTATGCATATCAAAGGTATTAATAACTAAACCACGAGACTTGTAGGCATTTTGGCCTAGATATAAATTTAGTTTCAAGTTAGTATAGTAAGTATTTCATATCTACATAGGTTATATTACTTCTTTAATAAAACTTCAAATATCATAACAAGCTTTTCACTCCCATTCACCAGCTCATGTGATGTCAAGATCTCTCACATAGTTTTAGCTTCCCCAGCAGTGGGCTGGTGCAGCTCGGTCAGCTGGATATAAATAATTGCCCTCCAGCCCACCTTGGTCTGGGAGCTAGCCTGCCCAAACTGAAGTCCAAAACCATTTTAAGCTTCAGTGTTGTTTCAGTTTATGGAAACATTCTTAATTTACATATTCATAAATACATGTACAGTGGACCCCCGCATAACGATTACCTCCGAATGCGACCAATTATGTAAGTGTATTTATGTAAGTGCGTTTGTACGTGTATGTTTGGGGGTCTGAAATGGACTAATCTACTTCACAATATTCCTTATGGGAACAAATTCGGTCAGTACTGGCACCTGAACATACTTCTGGAGTGAAAAAATATCGTTAACCGGGGGTCCACTGTATAGTATTGACTTAGGAAACTTTTGAATAACAAAGAAAAGTTAAATAGGCTTTACAGAGACTGTAGTCTTCTACATAATGAAATTAACCCATTAAGCAATTTTTGTTTTGCTCTCAGATTAAACAGTGCACATTCATTTTAGTTAATTTTTGCCCAGTTGCAGCTAATATTTAATCTAATTCCACTTTATTGTAAGATACAGAAAATTGTATAATTACTCTGAAATTAATGTTCATTTATAACGTGTGGTACTGTACATGTTTAAAGCTAAACTGAGTATTTATATACACATTCATAGTTAAATAAATAAATAACAGAAAGGCACAATACCGTGACTGGAACGAAACACAAATAACCCGCACATAAAAGACAGAAGCTTACGACGACGTTTCGGTCCGACTTGGACCATTGACAAAGTCACACTAACAGAGGAGGAGCAGGACGGCTATATATAGGCAGGAAGAGGTGGAGGTAGTAGTAGTGGTAGTAGTAGTAGTAGTAGTAGTAGTACAAGAATTGTATATAATACCGACAGGATGAAATGACACATGCACAACACCCGGGCATCCCCACCGTAGACGTTTCGCCATCCAGCCAGCCACTGGATGGCGAAACGTCCACAACAAAGACAACCAGACGCCGCACATGTGTCTAATTTCATCAGTAGATGTAGTAGAAGAAGAAGAGGTAGTAGTAGTGGTAGTGGTAGAAGTGGGAAATAAGGAAGACGAGCCAGTCAAATACAAAGGAAGGGGAGCACTGCAAGAGAGCTAGAAACCCACAGAGGGAGAGCAAGCGCACCGAGGTGCTTGAAAGGGGAAGTGGTGAAATAAAATAAAGAAGGAACAGAAACACGAGACAGGAGAGAGAAAGACAACCCAGAGGAGAAAAGGAGAGAGGAAAGGGGAAGAGGAAGAAGAAAAAGAAGAAGAAGAAAAAATGAGGATTCAGGTTAAGTCATGGGTGTTCTGAAGTTTGGAGCATTTTACAATGTAGTGGGAGAGGAAGGCATCTACAGAGACGAAGCCAGGGCTAAGGTTCATACAAGGAAAGTTGTGTATAAGAGAGGATTCAACTAAACGGCGACTGTTCGAGTTGGAAGTAGGGAAGACAGTTTTAGCAGAAGACCAGTCAATAGGATGGCTATGATCTCTGACGTGACAGAAAAGAGCATTGTTAGTGTCGGCAAGCCTAACACTATTTTGTGCTCCCTAAGTCTGTCAGAAAGAGATCGACCAGTTTCTCATAGTTAGAAATAATTTTTACACCATCAGCAAAAATAGTTTTGGGGAAAGAGAGATAAGGAAATATGTATAACCAGTTGATAATTCTCTTAGTCTTTTAGCCATTTTGAATATTACTACCACTTATTTTAATCATTCATTAATCAATCTACAACTAAGTTATACAGTATGCCCCTTTAAATTGCACTAATATGTTGAGGCATAAATTTTGTCTTGAGTCCCCTAATATGAGCAGTAAATGTGGAGAAACAATATTCATCATTCCTTCAAGCAATTAATTTGCTTATTTAAGTAAATGGCTAATGTTTATTATTTTGCAGAGTATCGAGGTTACCTCGCCACCTGGTAACGTTATAGGTTCCGTCCGTCAAGAGTGGAGTATTCTAGCCCCGAAGTACACTGTCCGTAATTCTTCAGATGATGTCATTCTCAGAATTGAAGGTCCAATCTGCACATGGAGTCTTTGTGGTGATGTTGAATTCAAGGTGAGCTGGTGTAACTAAAACTTGGTTATCACTTGCTGAGAAGTCAGTATTTGTTGAATGCTTCTTTTGTACTTTGTCAGTACAGGTCGGCCATCACTAATCTGGCATCATTGGGACCTGTAGTGTGCTGGATTAGTGAGTTTGCCGGATTCTTTTTGCTACATCTTCCTCATTTGCATCACTACTTTCTTCTCCACTGGCTTTCTGCTGTGGATTTATAGCCATCTGTACAATTTTTGAGTCGGTATAATGATGAAATTTGAAATTATGCTAGCCGAAATTAGTATCGGATTACTGATGGAACTGGATAACTGATTGCCGGATTAGTGATTCTCAGTAGTACCAGTTATCTCAGTACCAGTAACCAGTTACTAGTGTCAGTAGTAATGGCTCGTATACCGACCGTTGCTGATCCTCTGCTCCTGCGTGAATCACTGACTGTTATTCACTGTTACAGCTGACCTAGCATGATTTGTATGCCGCTCACCCTCTAGGCACTGTAAGTCAGTTGAAGGCTAGACAGGAGAGACGCAGGTCAGGCTTTGGTGCTCCCCATATATTCTGTCTAACATACGTACTTAATGTCCTACGAGTGTTTATTACCCAATCCAGGTTTCGGACCCCACGTGACATGATGGCTGACCGGTACTATAATAAAAAAAAGGAATTTTTTCTTTGCAAATACAGTATTTAAAAATTAATGAAGAAACTAACCTGTTTAATTAGTATCTAATTTCTTATACTTAGGAGTAATTTATAAAGGGACACATCAAGGTTTGCAAGTATATGGAATAGGTGGTAAGTTACTAAATGCTGTAAAGAGTTTTTATGAGGATAGTGAGGCTCAAGTTAGGGTGTGTAGAAGAGAGGGAGACTACTTCCCGGAAAAAGTAGGTCTTAGACAGGGATGTGTAATGTCACCATGGTTGTATAATATATGTATAGATAGGGTTGTAAAAGAAGTAAATGCTAAGGGGGTGTTCGGGAGAGGGGTGGGATTAAATTATGGGAAATCAAATTCAAAATGGTAATTGACACAGTTGCTTTTTGCTGATGATACTGTGCTTATGGGAGATTCTAAAGAAAAATTGCAAAGGTTAGTGGACGAGTTTGGGAGTGTGTGTAAAGGTAGAAAGTTGAAAGTGAACATAGAAAAGAGTAAAGTGATGAGGGAATCAAATGATTTAGATAAAGAAAAATATAAATAAAGATATAAACAGCTATTGGAGGATAGATGAGCTAATGAGAGCATAGGCAATGGGGTCGAAGAGGTATGGGGTAGGTTTAAAAATGTAGTGTTAGTGTTCAGCAGAAGTTTGTGGTTACAGGAAAGTGGGTGCGGGAGGGAAGAGGAGCGATGGTGGAATGATGATGTAAAAAGAGTAGTAAGGGAGAAAAGGTTAGCATATGAGAAGTTTTTACAAAGTAGAAGTGATGCAAGGAGGGAAGAGTATATGGAGAAAAAGAGAGAGATTAAGAGAGTGGTGAAGCAATGTAAAAAGAGAGCAAATGAGAGAGTGGGTGAGATGTTATCAACAAATTTTGTTGAAAATAAGAAAAAGTTTTGGAGTGAGATTAACAAGTTAAGGAAGCCTAGAGAACAAATGGATTTGTCAGTTAAAAATAGGAGAGGAGAGTTATTAAATGGAGAGTTAGAGGTATTGGGAAGATGGAGGGAATATTTTGAGGAATTGTTAAATGTTGATGAAGATAGGGAAGCTGTGATTTCGTGTATAGGGCAAGGAGGAATAACATCTTGTAGGAGTGAGGAAGAGCCAGTTGTGAGTGTGGGGCAAGTTCGTGAGGCAGTAGGTAAAATGAAAGGGGGCAAGGCAGCTGGGATTGATGGGATAAAGATAGAAATGTTAAAAGCAGGTGGGGATATAGTTTTGGAGTGGTTGGTGCAATTATTTAACCCTTTGACTGTCGCGGCCGTATATATACGTCTAACGAGGTACCATGTTTTACGTATATATACTCATAAATTCTAGCGGCTTCAAATCAGGCAGGAGAAAGCTGGTAGGCCCACATGTGAGAGAATGGGTCTGTGTTGTCAGTGTGCACCATATAAAAAAAATCCTGAAGCACGCAGTGCATAATGAGAAAAAAAAACTCCGACCGTTTTTTTTAATTAAAATGCCAACTTTGTGGTCTATTTTCGTATAGTATTTATGGTTGTATTCTCGTTTTCTTGGTCTCATTTGATAGAATGGAAAACATATTATAGAAATAGAGGTGATTTTGATTGATTTTACTATAAAAAGAACCTAGAAATGGAGCTCAAAATAGGGGAAATGTTTGATTTTTGCCAATGCTCAAAAGTAAACAAATGATGCCATTGTCCAATAAATGTCCAACTAGCCATTCTAATATGCAGTCATGAATGGGTTGATGTTATTTATACAATTATTACAGTATTGCAGTAGTCTGCATAATAGTAAGTCTTCTATTTTTTGTTTGAATAATAATTCAAAATAGAAAGCAAGAGTAATATCAGAGGGGCCTGGAGACGTGACTGATGAACAAAGAAAATGTTATTTTAGAGCCAGGAATGTCTGCATTGTTCATTCTGGATCATATTTTGAAATTGTCATATTTTTTTAGTTTTCGTGAAATTGGCCAAATTGCAAATTTCTGACCACATTATTAGGTAGTTGAAATCGGTAAATGGGCAGTTTCTTGTACTCAATTGATAGAAAAAATGGAGTTCTAAAGAAATAGCTATGGGTTTGGGCGACTGGAACAAGGGAATTAGCCGAAAATAGGGCTCAAAGTGGGCGAAATCGCCAATTTGTAAACAGCGCCGAGGTCGCTAACTTCGCGAGAGCATAATTCCATCAGTTTTCCATCAAATTTTTGGTGTCATTACAATCGGGAAAAGATTCTCTATCATTTCATAAGAAAAAAAAAATTTTTTTTTTTTTAAATTTTGCGACACCAGGAGACACCTCAGGATTGGGGGTTGCGACAGTCAAAGGGTTAATAAATGTATGGAAGAGGGTAAGGTACCTAGGGATTGGCAGAGAGCATGCATAGTTCCTTTGTATAAGGCAAAGGGGACAAAAGAGAGTGCAAAAATTATAGGGGGATAAGTCTGTTGAGTATACCTGGTAAAGTGTATGGTAGAGTTATTATTGAAAGAATTAAGAGTAAGACGGAGAATAGGATAGCAGATGAACAAGGAGGCTTTAGGAAAGGTAGGGGGTGTGTGGACCAGGTGTTTACAGTGAAACATATAAGTGAACAGTATTTAGATAAGGCTAAAGAGGTCTTTGTGGCATTTATGGATTTGGAAAAGGCGTATGACAGGGTGGATAGAGGGGCAATGTGGCAGATGTTGCAGGTGTATGGTGTAGGAGGTAGGTTACTGAAAGCAGTGAAGAGTTTTTCCGAGGATAGTGAGGCTCAAGTTAGAGTATGTAGGAAAGAGGGAAATTATTTCCCAGTAAAAGTAGGCCTTAGACAAGGATGTGTGATGTCACCGTGGTTGTTTAATATATTTATAGATGGGGTTGTAAGAGAAGTAAATATGAGGGTCTTGGCAAGAGGCGTGGAGTTAAAAGATAAAGAATCGCACATAAAGTGGGAGTTGTCGCAGTTGCTCTTTGCTGATGACACTGTGCTCTTGGGAAATTCTGAAGAGAAGTTGCAGAGATTGGTGGATGAATTTGGTAGGGTGTGCAAAAGAAGAAAATTAAAAGTGAATACAGGAAATAGTAAGGTAATGAGGATAACAAAAAGATTAGGTGATGAAAGATTGGATATCAGATTGGAGGGAGAGAGTATGGAGGAGGTGAATGTATTCAGATATTTGGGAGTGGACGTGTCAGCGGATGGGTCTATGAAAGATGAGGTGAATCATAGAATTGATGAGGGGAAAAGGGTGAGTGGTGCACTTAGGAGTCTGTGGAGACAAAGAACTTTGTCCTTGGAGGCAAAGAGGGGAATGTATGAGAGTATAGTTTTACCAACGCTCTTATATGGGTGTGAAGCATGGGTGATGAATGTTGCAGCGAGGAGAAGGCCGGAGGCAGTGGAGATGTCATGTCTGAGGGCAATGTGTGGTGTGAATACAATGCAGAGAATTTGTAGTTTGGAAGTTAGGAGGAGGTGCGGGATTACCAAAACTGTTGTCCAGAGGGCTGAGGAAGGGTTGTTGAGGTGGTTCGGACATGTAGAGAGAATGGAGCGTAACAGAGTGACTTCAAGAGTGTATCAGTCTGTAGTGGAAGGAAGGCGGGGTAGGGGTCAGCCTAGGAAAGGTTGGAGGGAGGGGGTAAAGGAGGTTTTGTGTGCGAGGGGCTTGGACTTCCAGCAGGCATGCGTGAGCGTGTTTGATAGGAGTGAATGGAGACAAATGGTTTTTAATACTTGATGTGCTGTTGGAGTGTGAGCAAAGTAACATTTATGAAGGGGTTCAGGGAAACCGGCAGGCCGGACTTGAGTCCTGGAGATGGGAAGTACAGTGCCTGCACTCTGAAGGAGGGGTGTTAATGTTGCAGTTTAAAAACTGTAGTGTAAAGCACCCTTCTGGCAAGACAGTGATGGAGTGAATGACGGTGAAAGTTTTTCTTTTTCGGGCCACCCTGCCTTTGTGGGAATCGGCCAGTGTAATAATAAAAATAAAAAAAAAAATTGGATATCAAATTGGGGAGGAGTATGGAAGAAGTGAATGTTTTCAGATACTTGGGAGTTGACATTTTGGCGGATGGATTTATGAAGGATGAGGTTAATCATAGAATTGATGAGGGGAAGAAAGGCGAGTGGTGCATTGAGGTATATGTGGAGACAAAAAACTTTATCTATGGAGGCAAAGAAGGGAATGTATTATAGGTATAGTAGTACTAACACTCTTATATGGGTGTGAAGCTTGGGTTGTGAATGCAGCAGCGAGGAGGCGGTTGGAGGCAATGGAGATGTCCTGTATAAGGGCAATGTCTAAGGGCAATCTTGGAAAAGGCTAGAATCATCGAAATATGTGAAGAAATATGATTTTCACTGAATTTTCAGCATTTTCTTTATATTTAACACATTTTTTTAAAAAAACAACGAAAATCTTTAAAAATCAGCATTAATACTGAATGTTTCATATATTTTGCAAAAAAATTCAGAGTGTGGAAATTAGAAGAAGGTGTGGAGTTAATAAAAGTATTAGAGGGCTGAAGAAGGTTTGTTGAGGTGGTTTGGTCATTTAGAGAGAATGGATCAAAGTAGAATGACATGGAGTGTTTAAATCTGTAGGGGAAGGAAGGCGCGGTAGGGGTCGTCCTCAGAAAGGTTGGAAGGAAGGGGTAAGGGAGGTTTTGTGGGTGAGGGACTTGGACCTCCAGCAGACATGCATGAGCGTGTTCGATAGAAATGAATGGAGACGAATGGTATCTGGGACCTAATGATCTGTTGGAGTGTGACCAGGGTAATATTTAGTGAAGGGATTTGGGGAAACCGGTTATTTTTATATAGCCGGACTCGAGTCCTGGAAATGGGAAGTACAATGCCTGCACTCTAAAGGAGGGGTTCGGGATATTGGCAGTTTGGTGGGATATGTTGTGTATCTTTATACGTATATGCTTCTAAGCTGTTGTGTTCTGAGCACCTCTGCAAACAGTGATTATGTGTGAGTGAGGTGAAAGTGTTGAATGATGATGATGAAAGTATTTTTCTTTTTGGGGATTTTCTTTTTGGGCCACCTTGCCTTGGTGGGAGACTGCCGACTTGTTAAAAAAAAAAAATATCAAGGTTAACATCTGGTTTCTGTAAACTAATACACAAGTGATGTTTAATCTGTTAAAATGTATCCCATATTATTGGCCTGTATGGTTTCACACTTTCCATATTTTGGACAAGTTTATCAGCTTCGCTGTCTATGAAAATTTGGGAGCTTTCTAATTATCGTTGCAAGAGTTTAAATGTAATTAATCTAATCTGCTTATGAAGTCTCTTCTTTCAGAGCAGCTTGTTGCACTTAAAGATTATGCTACCAGAATTAAAAAAATTTAAAACTGGTCTGTATGTGATTTAACCCGTAAACGGTCCAAGCAGATCTACGTTCACATGCGTAGTGCTCCAAAAGTAGATCTACATTTTTTTTACATATTTTCAAATATAACAAAAAAAAATCTACTTTTTTATATACTTTCAAATGTTGAAAAAAACATATATATACGTTTGGACCGTTTACGGGTTAAACAGGCCTTGTACAGATGCCATAAAAAGTCAAACTATGCATTGGTTTTGTTTAAGAACTGACTGAAGTTCCCACAGAATTTAAAGTGTTACATATGAGACAACTGAGGTTATCGGCACTATTCTTTCATTGTACGTTATAGACCCGAGTAACAACTAGCTGTGCCTGAGGCTTTGTCATAACTCTGACTCGTATACTTGTTAATACATAAACCTATGTTTATAATGCTGTCAGTAGCATTTACAGATTACAGTATATTTCCACATGTACATTTCCATGGCAAATTTTTGTCTTAGTACAATCAAATATTATACTCTCCCCCAGGCTTCTTTGACTAAAAATGTAGTTCAGAAAACTTATCAGGTACATGTATTCCTATTTCCCAAATAATGCATGAAATTCTAAACTCCCAAAGAGTATCCCTTCAACTGAGGAAGATGTACGTATCATTTTATCTTGCTTTATCTGTGGTAGTGACTCCAGACTCAAGAATTTTCTTTTTATTATTCATGCTTTAAACCTAATCATCAGTAAAAAGATTGATAGGCTTTCCCATTTTCAGGTACTATCAGCTGATGGTGATGTTCAAGTTGGCAAGATCAGCAAACAGTGGACAGGTCTTGTGAAAGAGGCCTTCACTGATAGTGACAATTTTGGTATTACTTTCCCCCAGGATCTGGATGTTAAAATGAAAGCCACCTTACTTGGTGCAGTGTTCCTCATTGTAAGTATCCTGTTTTTATTACTTTCATTTGTTTCATGGGTTTTAGTTAAATTACAATACATTATTTCTTATTATTGTCAGAAAAATTTTGCATTACTTATTTTACAAAAGGAGCATGTTTAATATGAGTGAATGACAAGAAACTCGTTATTAGTAGAAGTGCTGTTGAAGTGTGAGAGGGGTTCTGGAAGTGGGAAATACAGTGCCTACACTCTGAAGGATGTCAGAGGGTAGTCTGATGATGTCGGCAAACTCCTGGGAAGAGGGAGTTGAATGATGGTACCTGTGCCTTTGACATATCTTTGAATCTTGAGATTTTTTTGTACTCCAAGAGCCTGGTCTTGGATCAGACTTGTTTGCTGCTTACTTGGTCATTCATGTTGTTGCTACTGACAGCCTGCTGGCTCGCCTCCCCATCACAATCTGGTTGATCTGGGACTTGAAGATACTTGTCCAGTTCTTTCTTTCAACACACCGGCCGTATCCCACCGAGGCGGGGTGGCCCAAAAGGAAAAACGAAAGTTTCTCCTTTTACATTTAGTAATATATACAGGAGAAGGGGTTACTAGCCCCTTGCTCCTGGCATTTTAGTCGCCTCTTACGACACGCATGGCTTACGGAGGAAGAATTCTGTTCCACTTTCCCATGGAGAACTTGTCCAGTTACCTCTTGAAAACTATGTACTCTTGTTCCAGCAGTGTGTTTATATCTTCTGGTAAGATGTTGAATAGTCTTGAACCACAGATGTTGAGTGTTCTGTTATGCCCATGGTGCCCCTGCCATTCACTGGGTTTATTTTACACTTTTCACTGATATGTTATAGCATTGTACAAATTTGGGGCATGGCCCACAGGTACTTTTCATGTATGGTATATATTATCGTATATTTTTCTCTCTTCATTAATTACATGTTTAGGATACTGAAACATTCCCAGTAATTTAAATAATTATTGGCTCTATGCAGGCTTTAAATGATCTCTGTACCTTTCCAGCTCCAGTACCTGTTTCTCTGACCAGGGCTGTCAGCAATTAGCAGTACTCTAAATGAGAGAACACAAATTATTTTAAATTGTCACAAGTGGCACCATTTCTTATGTTTTGGAGTTCTCCTTATCCACCCCATCTATATAATGGTTATCGTGACATTTACCTAGTTTTTTGACACAAAGGTCAGCCAGTTAATTACTCCCAGGTCTTCTGGGTGTTCCTTTTGTGCTGTTTGATGGTCCTCTCGGGTATTGTACAAAGTGTCCCTCTTGCATTCTTCATTCTTTCCATATCTAAGCAGCTGAAACTTATTACCATTGAATGTTATATTATCCACCACCCTCTGGATCACTCTATTTTTCTGCCTTCTACCGAGGTGATTATTATGCTTATTTTATATCTATTAGTGGTAAGAATGGTGGGTGTTTTTGTCAGTTGTGAGGATAAACTATAGAGGTGCCTGGATTGTGCCTTGGTACTGAGCTTTTTACCTCGCTGATGATGAATTTAGTTTTTTTTTTTGGGGAGGGGGGCACTCTGCCTTGGTGGAAGACACCTGTTGAATTAGAAAAAAAAAGAGGATGCATACTAAACAGGATACAAAACAGATGTGGGGCTCTGGAGAAAGAAGTGTTTAGGGAAATGAGGATGATACAGCCTCTCCTCTCTTAGCAATGTAGTACTACTTGTTTACCGACGACTTGGATTTACGACAGGCTGTCTGACCAGTATGCATACGTAAATAATGTATATTAGAGCTGATTTCCTCTATTCTGTTTATTACAATATACAGTACACTACTGTATAAACATTTAAAAATATTCTAAAAATATTATAAATTGTGCAAAGGTGACATTAAAACAATATCAAAGATCGTTGACACAAACCAACTACCATTATAGTATGCCGCTTGCTTAGCGACGAATTCATTTACCGATGTGGTCCTAGGAATGGAACTTTGTTGTTAAGTGAAGAGAGGCTGTGAGGAAACAGCATTAATGTTATAAATTACAACCACACTAAATACCATAAGTGCAATATAAAAGATATGAAAACAAATTTAATAGCTTAATTGGGAATTAGTTCTACCTCATTTTATTTGGAGTCACCAAGTGAATTCACAAATCCATCATCCTCTGGGGTGGGTATGTTTGTATGAGTGTGTGTGCATGTACACATGTATGTGAATGCATGTGTGTGTGTGTGTGTGTATATATATTTGGTCTTCTTGTAGATTGATGTTTTCACAATTTAAATATTTTTATTTTCTACGTATTTACATGGTGAAATGTTAAATTTCTTTCTTTTGATGTTTCTCTTAATATCAAGCACCATTTGGGTATGTGTAATTAATTACAACGTTTATTGTTAAAAGTAGAAGTATAATCATTATATTCTGTACTTACCTTGTTATATGTATTTATTTTTCTCTGGCTTGTACTGTATCAAGAAGTCTTCCTTTTCTAGTTTCATAAACTTAGATATTTGGGTAATTGTATTTTCTTATTTTCCTCATGCAATAGAGAGGCTATTTTTTTTGCTTTGGATTTTTTTCTTTTTCATCTTTGAATGGTTTCTAGTGCTAGACTTTTAATTTTGGATGGTTTTGAATTAACTTGAATTGTCTTGACAACTGAGCCTCCATATGGCATTGGCATCTTGTATATCATTTGGTGTTTTTCCTCTACTTTTATTCAAGAAATACTTTATTGGCTTATGGAAGGCTCTCACTGTTGCCTTGAATCACTCTTGTGCTTAGCCAGGTAGTATGCCTTGCTGATCTAGCCAACTTGAAAACTGGTTGCATATCTGTGGGGTGAGGTAACTTGGCATTGAAGTCTCCCTACCTTGGTGAGAGATGGCGGTGATAAAAAAAAAAAATCCAGCTAGTGCTCCTGTCTTTTCAGTTTCTTGAGTTGTCTTGTGTGTAGTATTGTCCATGAATTTATATCATTCTGGGAATATGCTGTTCACCCATCCTTTTCTTTCCTGTTTAATATGTCACTTTGTCATAGATTTCATTCCAGTTGTTCCAACCTCTCATTTTACTATGTGAATTTTTTTTTACTCAGTACATGATGTTAATTGCTTCCTACTTTTTCAAATGCAGTTTTCTTTGTTAGGTTTATTTAGGTTTGTGTATTACAGTACACTAAATACAGCAGTCATGATACATTTGGCAATGAAGTGGCAACAAAAACTTTTCTTCTTTCAACAAACCGGCCGTATCCCACCAAGGCAGGGTGGCCCAAAAAGAAAAACAAAAGTTTCTCTTTTTAAATTTAGTAATTTATACAGGAGAAGGGGTTACTAGCCCCTTGCTCCCGGCATCTTAGTCGCCTCTTACAACACGCATGGCTTACAGAGGAAGAATTCTGTTCCACTTCCCCATGGAGGTAAGAGGAAATAAACAAGAATAAGAACTAGAAAGAAAATAGAAGAAAACCCATAGGGGTGTGTATATATATGCTTGTACATATAGTAGCAAGTAGCAAGATGTACCTGAAATCTTGCATGTTCATGAGACAGAAAAAAGGATGCCAGCAATCCTACCATCATGTAAAACAATTACAGGCTTTCGTTTTACACTCACTTGGCAGGACAGTAGTACCTCCCTGGGCGGTTGCTGTCTACCAACCTACTACCTACATGGAAACTTAATGTTTATCATTCATGATAAAAGGATGGACTAATTACTGAAACTGTTTCTAAAAGAAGTTGCTCTTCTGTGAGGGTTAACCAATTCCCTTGTATCCTTCACATTACTTTTCTTGGCAGACAGTATTTGGTTTTTTACTGCCTGAGCTGTACTGTATCCTACTTCATTGGTGTCAAAAATTGTCTCTGGCACTTGTAGTGTCCTTCCTCTTTTGTCCATTGTCTTCTCTGCATCTTTTTCTATGTACCAGCATCAGAATGCAGTGATCTCTTGCTCTTAGGAAAGGACTTGTCTTTCCTATGTGCATACATACAGATTTTAAGTCTTTCTTTATTTTTAAATAGATAGTAATCTGTGTAGTGTTGTTGCAGTTTAGTTCATTGTATTTGGTAAATCTGCTATTAACACTGTAATTAAGAGATAAAAATGTAAAAGTATGTATAGTTCAGTGAATGGAATACTTAGTTTTTAAAACATGATACTGTATAGGGAAATGTATTTTAAATATTTCTTACTTAATTGTACTAGAATTTCTAATTTTTATTTCCTGGTACTGTCCTTATGTGTTATTTGTCACCAACTTTCAGGATGTAATGCATTTTGAGAAGGCCAATGACGACTGATGACTTGTGGCAATAAAAATAAAAAGTACAGTACAACAATGGCCATTTCAGTAACAAAATGGCTTATTTTAACCCTATTGCCATCAGACACATTTCACTAATGAGAATTGTACTAGTATTACTTGTTAATTTATTTGCTTTTAAATTAAGGAATGGTTGTGCTATGCATGCTTTGGAATTAAAGAACCTATGAATATTTCATGTTTACGGTACATGTATTTATTGTATTTCAAGATAAAAAAAAAAAGTTACACAAATTTATTTTAATCCTTGTTAATAAGTATTTTAATGCTCAATTTCTGCTGTAGTACCCTAGGAACTTGGTTGGAAAATGTGAATCCTGTCCTTACCTATTGCTTTTTTTAATGCTGGTTAGGTCTGAATGCTCTAAACTCTTGTTCAACTCTGCTCCAGTTGTTACCCTGTGGTGTTGTGCAGGCACCAGCCAAGGCCTCTGATCCACCCACTGTAATTGTCAGCCTGCTTCCATTGTGCGTACACATTGCTCTTGCCTCTTTATTGTGGAGACTTCTTCAGCCATTGCCACATTTTTTTGAGTTCTTGTACTCAGAATTATCTTTGGGATTTGTGGTAGCCAGTTCTCAACGATGTCCCTTTACATGCTCCAGGCTTTACTTGGCTGCTACTTACACTGGTTTGCTTGGCTCTCAAGATGGTGTGGCAGATCATTTTTCCTTGGAAGCCAACCCCTCCTATCATCTACTGCTTTAAGACCAGTGGGTCCCAGTTGCATTTTGAGGTCCTAGACATGCATTTTGCTGGATCCCTGCTATTTATCTGTTAACTCTGGCAGAGACTGGCCAGTATCTGTTTTAACAAGCCGTTACTAAGGCATATGTGAGAATGTATGCTCTGTCCCTTAAGTTTTCAAGGGACCTAGTCTCCTCCTGTCTTTCCACTGGTTCCAATGTTGGACATTCCTCTAGTCATCCTTGATAACTTTTTAGGATTGTTGTGCTACACCGGTTAACAGATATGTAGTGACTGTATTAGTTTACGTATTTTAAAACTCAGAAGGAGCTTTTGAGAATTATTTAGGTCAATTATTGTTGGTCTGATCTTCCAGACATGATCCCACCACAGTATCAGTATCAGTAGGAAGGTTTCAGGCATCACAATGAAGCCATTCACTAGGTCATCAGCAGTCTTGTTCCTCCCTTTTTCAGTTAGAAAACAAATTGGCTTGCTGTATGGGGCACATATATAGTATCAATCTTTTCTCCAAGGTTTTGAGTAAGATTTTGTACTTTAGCTCAAAATAGTACTAGTGGTAAGTACATTGAGATTTAATCAGGTTTGTTGTTACACACACAGATGTTTAATTATAAAGGATTGTGCACTTTGAGGGTTAATTCAACCATACTTTCCAGAGGGTACAAGGTTAATTGCTATTTACTCTTCCTTCATATATTGTCTTGTCTCTTCTCATTTTTTTAATATACCAGTAGGTGTTCTAGGGTGTTTAAATTTTGATGAAAGTAAACGAGAGTAATCTTATGGTGAGAGTTACTGACTGGCACTTCCCAACTAGCATGACCATCCATCAATAAGTAACAAAATTTTCCAAACGAAATCTGGATTTGCTGACGGCAACTTTGCACCTCGGTTATGAAGTTGTTGTAATATGTATATATCATGCAGTTCAACAAATTTAAATAAACTGACAACTTGCTTCTGACGGTGAAAGGGTTACATTAAGTTAAGCAACTAAATAAGGTAGTAGCAAAAGGCATGTTGTTTATATTTTGTGTGCTTGTGTATCACCTGCTGCTGTTGTAATCATGCATTTATTAATGATGAAAAATAAATGCAGTGTGAATAGCTTGCTTAATTTTGATGCATGTAAAAATTCCCAGATTTTTGACAAACTTTTAAAAGTAATTTTTGTTTAAATTAGTTTTTGACACTGTGGCTAATTGATATTTGCGTGAGGTCACCAGTACATACAGCGTTTGACTATTTGGCTCGACAGTATGTAATCAGCAATGTATTTAATGTTTATTAATTTTATTTGCTTCCACTTGACAATGAAAGTAAAACAAATTAGGATTTGGCCACTGGTGTATTGATCCTCCATAAATGAGGTCACCATGTAAGGCATTAGACTTTTTGCTTCCTACTAATTATTTTGCTAAATATATTGCTCTTTATTCTCCATTATATCTTTTTCGTTAATGAATGGTTTCAGTTATTTTTCTTAATTTCGCTCATGCTGATATATCGATCCAAATTATGAGGCAAAATTCTTCCATAACTTGCCCCTTTAAAAATACAATGTACTTGTAGGTTTATTTTAATTGATACATAATTACTGTTTTTTTTTTTCCAACAAGTCGGCCGTCTCCCACCGAGGCAGGGTGACCCAAAAAAAAAAAAAGAAAATCCCCAAAAAGAAAATACTTTCATCATCATTCAACACTTTCACCACACTCACACATTATCACTGCTTTTGCAGAGGTGCTCAGAATACAACAGTTTAGAAGCATATATGTATAGAGATACACAACATATCCCTCCAAACTGCCAATATCCCAAACCCCTCCTTTAAAGTGCAGGCATTGTACTTCCCATTTCCAGGACTCAAGTCCGACTATATGAAAATAACCGGTTTCCCTGAATCCCTTCACTAAATATTACCCTGCTCACACTCCAACAGATCGTCAGGTCCCAAGTATCATTCGTCTCCATTCACTCCTATCTAACACGCTCACGCACGCTTGCTGGAAATCCAAGCCCCTCACCCACAAAACCTCCTTTACCCCCTCTTTCCAACCCTTTCGAGGACGACCCCTACCCCTCTTTCCCTTTCCCCCTATAGATTTATATGCTTTCCATGTCATTCTACTTTGATCCATTCTCTCTAAATGACCAAACCACCTCAACAACCCCTCTTCTGCCCTCTGACTAATGCTTTTATTAACTCCACACCTTCTCCTAATTTCCACACTCCGAATTTTTGCATAATATTTACACCACACATTGCCCTTAGACAGGACATCTCCACTGCCTCCAACCGTCTCCTCGCTGCTGCATTTACCACCCAAGCTTCACATCCATATAAGAGTGTTGGTACTACTATACTTTCATACATTCCCTTTTTTGCCTCCATAGATAACGTTTTTTTGACTCCACATCTACCTCAACGCACCACTCACCTTTTTTCCCTCATCAATTCTATGATTAACCTCATCCTTCATAAATCCATCCGCCGACACGTCAACTCCCAAGTATCTGAAAACATTCACTTCTTCCATACTCCTCCTCCCCAATTTGATATCCAATTTTTCTTTATCTAAATCATTTGACACCCTCATCACCTTACTCTTTTCTATGTTCACTTTCAACTTTCTCCCTTTTACACACATTCCCAAACTCATCCACTAACCTTTGCAATTTTTCTTTAGAATCTCCCCTAAGCACAGTATCATCAGCAAAAAATAACTGTGTCAATTCCCATTTTGAATTTGATTCCCCATAATTTAATCCCACCCCTCTCCCAAACACCCTAGCATTTACTTCCTTTACAACCCCATCTATAAATATATTAAACAACCATGATGACATTACACATCCCTGTCTAAGACCTACTTTTACGGGAAGTAGTCTCCCTCTCTTCTACACACCCTAACCTGAGCCTCACTATCCTCATAAAAACTCTTTACAGCATTTAATAACTTACCACCTATTCCATATACTTGCAACATCTGCCACATTGCTCCTCTATCCCCCTCTATCATATGCCTTTTCTAAATCCATAAATGCAATAAAAACTTCCCTATCTTTATCTAAATACTGTTCACATATATGCTTCAATGTAAACACCTGATCTACACATCCCCTACCCACTCTAAAACCTCCTTGCTCATCCGCAATCCTACATTCTGTCTTACCTCTAATTCTTTCAATTATAACCCTACCGTACACTTTTCCTGGTATACTCAGTAAGCTTATTCCTCTATAATTTTTACAGTCTCTTTTGTCCCCTTTCCCTTTATATAAGGGACTATACATGCTCTCTGCCAATCCCTAGGTACCTTCCCCCTTTCATACATTATTAAACAAAAGTACCAACCACTCCAACACTATATCCCCCCCTGCTTTTAACGTTTCTGTCATGATCCCATCAGTTCCAGCTGCTTTACCCCCTTTCATTTTACGTAATGCCTCACGTACCTCCCCTCACACTTTCATTCTGCTCTTCTTTACTCCTAAAAGATGGTATACCCCCCTGACCAGTGCATGAAATTACTGCCTCTGTTTCTTCCTTAACATTTAAAAGTTCCTCAAATATTCTCGCCATCTACCCAATACCTCCATCTCCCCATCTACTAACTCCCCTACTCTGTTTTTAACTGAAAAAATCCATATTTTCCCTAGGCTTTCTTAACTTGTTTAATCACTCCAAAATTTTTTCTTATTTTCATTAAAATTTCTTGACAGTGCCTCCCCCACTCTATCATTGCTCTCCTTTTGCACTCTCTCACCACTCTCTTTACCTTTCTTTTACTCTCCATATACTCTGCTCTTCTTATAACACTTCTGCTTTGTAAAAACCTCTCATAAGCTACCTTTTTCTCTTTTATCCACCCTTTACTTCTTTCATTCCACCAATCACTCCTCTTTCCTCCTGCCCCCACCCTCCTATAACCAAAAAATTCTGCCCCACATTCTAATACTGCTTTTTTAAAACTATTCCAACCCTCTTCAACCCCCCCACTACTCATTTTTGCACTAGCCCACCTTTCTGCCAATAGTCGCTTATATCTCGCCCGAATTTCCCCCTCCCTTAGTTTATACACTTTCACCTCCCTCTTACTTGTTGTTGCACCTTCCTCTTTTCCCATCTACCTCTTACTCTAACTGTAGCTACAACTAAATAATGATCCGAATAAAAGTTGCCCCTCTATAAACATGTACATCCCGGAGCCTACCCCTCAACCTTTTATCCACCAATACATAATCTAATAAACTACTTTCATTACGTGCTACATCATACCTTGTATATTTATTTATCCTCTTTTTCATAAAATATGTATTACTTTTTACCAAATTTCTTTCTACACATAGCTCAATTAAAGGTCCCCATTTACATTTACCCCTGGCACCCAAATTTACCTACTACTCCTTCCATAACATTTTTACCCACTTTAGCATTGAAATCCCCAACCACCATTACTCTCACACTTGATTCAAAACTCCCCACGCATTCACTCAACATTTCCCAAAATCTCTCTCTCTCCTCTACACTTCTCTCTTCTCCAGGTGCATACACGCTTATTATAACCCACTTTTCACATCCAATCTTTATTTTACTCCACATAATCCTTGAATTAATACATTTATAGTCCCTCTTTTCCTGCCGTAGTAGGTTGGTAGACAGCAACCTCCCAGGGAGGTACTACCGTCCTGCCAAGTGAGTGTAAAACGGAAGCCTGTAATTGTTTTACCCGATGGTAGGATTGCTGGTGTTTTTTCTGTCTCATAAACATGCAAGGTTTCAGGTACGTCTTGCTACTTCTGCTTACACTTAGGTCACACTACACATACATGTACAAGCATATATATACACACCCCTCTGGGTTTTCTTCTATTTTCTTACTAGCTCTTGTTCTTGTTTATTTCCTCTTATCTCCATGGGGAAGTGGAACAGAATTCTTCCTCCGTAAGCTATGCGTGTTGTAAGAGGCGACTAAAATGCCAGGAGCAAGGGGCTAGTAACCCCTTCTCCTGTATATATTACTAAATGTGAAAGGAGAAACTTTTGTTTTTCCTTTTGGGCCACCCCGCCTCGGTAGGATACGGCTGGTGTGTTGAAAGAAAGAAAGAAAGATATATATATATATATAATTGGTAATTTAATTATGCTGTGAGTAATAAAGTTGATAGTGGGCTTCACTAATTTCTTTTTTCTTTTTTAGGATTTCATGTTCTTCGAGAAACAAGGCAACAAAGAAAATGATGGTATTGGAATGCTCGGTTAAATCATTGGATGAAAAATTTCAGAGGTTTATTATTTTTATCCTTTTTTATTCCTCCCTTTTATTGACCTCCATGTATACAGTGATTAACATTTTATAAACACTCCATTTCAGGAAGGATGGAGTCTTTGCTCTAACATTATAATTAATATTTGCATTATTTTTAAAAGTGCCTAATTACAGGTCTCCCTCAGCATTCGCGAGGGTTAGGGGATCAAGAGCCTCATGAATGTTGAAAAACCGTGAATGTTTGGTGCCCCAATATATTGTAGGGAAATATATTGCAATACTGCTTCCTTAACTTGTTGAACCATGAATAATCATAAAATACATGAAAACGTCGTAAATTGTACTAAATATATACATGTTATGCTTTAATAACGTATGTTATTTAATAACATGTATGTTAATAACATGTATGTTATTAAATACCACAGACTCCACCACTGCCTCCACCAGTGCCTCCACCACTGCGAGTCCCTACTACCCTCCCTCCGACCCCCGCAACTGGCAGGCAGCCCTCCCACCACTCAGTGTGCTGAGTGTTTTGTTTGTTCATTATTTGCTATTAAGCTACAGAATAAATAATGTAAACCCATTCATGACTGCATATTGGAATGGCTATTAGGAAAGATGTTAGACGGTGACATCACGTGTTTACTCTTGAACACAGCAAAGAATCGAACATTTCTGCTATTGCTAATAATAATAATAGTAGGAGACGGCCGACTTGTTGAAAAAAAAAAAAAAAAAAAAAAATAATAATAATAATAAATACGATATAATTGAAGAAGGAAATTGTACAAAAATACGAGGGAGTGGTTGACACATTGTCAGTGTGACTTTGTTTATGCTGGAGTGAACGTTAGTCTCCCTGCTCTTCCAAACATTTCACAATAATTCAGCGGTTGAGGCAGTGGCATTTAATAACATATATGTTATAAATAATAATAGTACATGTTATTATTAATAACATGTACATGTATTATTATTAACATGTATGTTATTAAATACCATTGCCTCAATCACTGCCTCTACCACTCCAGTCACACTCAGTCTACAAGCACCAAACACAATGAATTATTGTGAAATGTTTGGAAGAGCAGGGAGACTATTGTTCACTCCAGCATAAACAAAGTCACACTGACGATGTGTCAACCACTCCCTCGTATTTTTGTACAATTTCCTTCTTCAGTTATATCATATTTATTATTTATTATTATTATTATTATTATTAGCTGTAGCAGAAATGTTTAATTCTTTGCAGTGTTCAAGAGTAAACACATGATGTCACCGTCTAATACCTGTCCGAATAGCCATTCCAATATGCAGTCATGAATGGGTTTACATTATTTATACTGTAGTTTAATAGCAAATAATGAACAAACAAAACACTCACCACACTGAGTGGTGGGAGGGCTGGCTGCCAGTTGCGGGGGTCAGAGGGAGGGTAGTAGGGACTCGCAGGTGGCGGGAAACTTAAATATGATTTGGCGGCTGGGAATTTGGTGGCTGGGAATTTGGCGGTTGGGAATTCGCGAATGTGTGAAGCCCGTGAATGTTGAGGGAGACCTGTACTTAATAATGTTTCATCTCCACACCCTTTCATTGACCTCTGATTTATTTTTAAATAAAAAACTTTCCTCATTTTTATTTTTATAACGTTTTATTTTAAATGGCCTGAATAATTTTAATTTGCATTTTTTCTCCTGTTTTTCATATTTGCTGTAAAATGGTATTGAAGATTGAATGATTAGTTCAGATTCATGCAGTATAGCAAGACACACTTTAACAAACCAAGAAACTAATTAACTAGTGGATATGTATGTACACTTGCATGTGCACGCGAACACAATGTTCATTCGTGCTATACATACACGTACATACAAGCTTCTGACCTGGTATTGGCAGGTACAGTATTGTACTTCATTTAGCTTGTATTAGATTTATATAAACTTTATACAAATATACACAACTATATATATATTATTTTATAATGTATAGAAAACTGCATATATAAGTGAGCTGTTTATTATTTTGTGTGAAAAATATGGTATGTTACTTAACAGAATACATTATTTTTTAGGATGTATGAAGAAAGTTGAATATTGTATATTAACTAAATTAGGTTTTTCACAAAGAATGTAAAATTGTGGATTTAATGCAGCAGCCAAGCTTCATTCATTAAACTAAATGTACAAATAATAAGAATTATTGTAACCAGTACAGTTATTCTTGGTAATTGACATGCCACGTGTTTCTGAAAGTTAACTCAGGTGTTTCTCATATTTTGCTTTTTTTTTTTTTTTGTCCTCCTGCTTCTCACTCCTTTCTTGCCCCCTCTTTATTTTATTCATTTCTTCTTTTCTTTCCATCTCTCAATCTTCCTTTTCTCACTCCAGCTTTCTCCTCTTCTTTGTAATTCTGTTCTCTTCCTACTACTAAATCTTGTTTTCCTCAGTTTGCACAAAAGCTTAAATATTTTAAACTGCACAAGTAATTATAAATGTTATTTGTCATTAATTTTTTGCCCTCTGTTATCATACTTCTTTTATTTCCTGACATACATAGTGTCCCCATCTGTTGTGCAATGCTGAATAACCTTCATGATTTTAGCAATTTTGATTATTTCTATTACTATTTCTTCCACTACCATCATATTCTGTGAGACTGTACAATAGTTTAATGATTCATAAATCCCTTATGGCAAAATTATTCTCACTGAAATAAATTAGTATTGATAAAGAATGAATCTTAAGTGCAAACAATTGGTTTGAATATTATCTGTTTAAAAGAAAGCTACAAATAACTAAATTTAAAAAGAAAAACTTTTGGGATAGCAGCTTTGTTCTAGACAGACCGAAAAAAAAAAAATTACAAGAATTTAAGATTTTAATTTTTTTTTTTAACCCTGACAGTCTCCCACAGAGGTAGGGTGACGCAAAGAAAAAATGCTTTCATAAAGTTTTTCTTTTTACATTTAGTAATTTATACAGGAGAAGGGGTTACTAGTCTCTTGCTCCCAGCATTTTGGTCGCTCTTACGACAAACAGGTTACGGAGGAAGGATTCTTCCCTTCCCCATTGAGGACAAATTCACATACTGTATGAATTTTCTGCTCAGATTGTGTAGCTGATAAATTTTGTTTCTGAACTGAAGGAATCAGGCACTAAATAAGATGCCAGTGTCTTAAACATTTTGTCAACTTGTATTTTTTCAAATTTTCAGTGCTAAAACAAAGCCCTACTTTCCTAATGAGAAAGAAGTGGATACTCTTAATTCATTACTGCCACTCACCAATATTTTGCATCCTAGGCAAAATGACACTTTTTCTCTTTCCTCCTTCACCTTGCTACATATACTGAAACTTTACCCTTGCTTACTCTATTTATCTCTCAAGTTTCTGGAGCTTTCCCAATAACTATTTTTAATGTGGATAGTTTATGCATCAAGCACTGAATTGTTTCATTATATTGGAAAGTGTAAATCTATCCTTAGTTTGTACTCCCTTTTGCTCCACAATATCCCAAATAATCTGTTCAGTTTGTTGTAATGTGAAATAAAAGAGCAGAATTTCTTAATGTGCCTCTGTTGGTAGTAAAGATTATACATCGCCTTGAACATACATTGCCCTTATAAATCTTATTAGGAAACTGTTATTAATCCATGTTAACCCAGGTGTGGATTACTGTGTATTCATACAAATATATGAGTGTATAAAATTACTAAGAACTCTGCCTTCCATTTGTCCAGAGCTTGTATTTGCTCTCTCCTACCATTAAATGATTTTGTTACCCCTTACCTAGATCAAACTTGATTATCTCCTGTTACTAAGGAACTATGACAGTTATGGGTTTAGTGCTTCCCTGTGAATGTGTTATCAATTGTACCTTATTAATTAGTATATAGTCTTGTAGAGTGCAACCATGTACAGGAGGGCCTCGCTTATACAGCAGGTTAGGTTCTGAGCTACTGCTGTAAAGTGAATCATCGCTTTTTTCACTTTCAAATACATATAAAAGCCTGATAACATGTTTACACTATCATATATTAAGTGACCAATATAGCTAGGCCTAAAAAATGCATACAGTAAACACATTACCTTAAAATATTTTAATTTTTAGTTTAATGAGTGGTGGATCTATTTATTGTAGAAAGTCTGAATAAAGTTAGAATGGGTGTAATTGAAAACTGCTGTATTAGCAAAACACTAAAGCAAAGCACTGTAAAGCATGGCCTTCCTGTATTGGAATTAAGCCATGAATGATACTGACATCATACACTACCATGAAGCAACTATTGTGTATCCATCTTGTTCCATAAGAAGTATAATAATATTCAGTGTATAGACTTAAAACTAGCTAATTTTTTTGTTCAGAACAATTTTTCTTTATATTAGGATTTTGGCAGTTTGGAGGGATATGTTGTGTATCTTTATATGTGTATGCTTCTAAACTGTTGTATTCTGAGCACCTCTGCAAAAACAGTGATAATGTGCGAGTGTGGTGAAAGTGTTGAATGATGATGAAAGTATTTTCTTTTTGGGGATTTTCTTTCTTTTTGGGTCACCCTGCCTCGGTGGGAGACGGCCGACTTGTTAAAAAAAAAAAATTAGGATTTTTAATCTAGAATTTGTTTGAGGACAGTTATTCTAAATATCAAATAAAGTACTTATAGTGCTGTGGATTTCTTTAGGAATTGTAATTTTCCTGCTTATTATGTTAGCAATATTTTCCTTTGTACAAATAGTCATTGTGTGTATTCGAAGTTTTTCAAATTTGCTTCCTGCTATTTCAGGATTTCCATATCTTAATAAATTTGGGTTTTTCCATAATTTTCAAAAACTTATGTTTACTGTATTTTCATAAGTTTATGTATGTTTTTTTTTTTTTTTTTTTTTTTTTTCTCTCTCTCTCTCTCTCTCTCTCTCTCCTCTCTCGAGTCAGCCGTCTTCCACCAAGGCAGGGTGACCCAAGAAGAAAGAAAATCCCCAAAAAGAAAATACTTTTATCATTCAACACTTTCACCTCGCTCATACATAATCACTGTCTTTGCAGAGGCGCTCAGATACAGCAGTTTAGAAGTCCCCATGCACATTTCCCTGTCTTCTGCTTCATCTTTCCCTCAAACAAACCCAAGTTTAAATGAAGTTTTGCCATAAACTCTTGATTTCTTAACTGGCATTGATTTCCTACATACTGAACTGCAGTGCTATATGACCCTGGTGGGTTTAGTGTTTAGTTTTGATTATTATAATAATACATACTGAACTTTTTAGGTAGTAGGTTGGTAGACAGCAACCACCCAGGGAGGTACTACCATCCTGCCAAGTGAGTGCAAAACGAAAGCCTGTAATTGTTTTACATGATGGTAGGATTGCTGGTGTCCTTTGTCTGTCTCATAAATATGCAAGATTACAGGTACATCTTGCTACTTCTACTTACACTTAGGTCACACTACACATACATATACAAGCATATATATATATATATATATACATACACCCCTCTGGGTTTTCTTCTATATTCTTTCTTGTTCTTGTTTATTTCCTCTTATCTCCATGAGGAAGTGGAACAGAATTATTCTTCTGTAAGCCATGCGTGTTGTTAGAGGTGACTAAAATGCCGGGGGCTAGTAACCCCCTTCTCTTGTATAAATTACTAAATTTAAAAAGAGAAACTTTCATTTTTTTTTTTTTTTTGTCACCTTGCCTTGGTGGGATAAGGCTGGTTGAAAAAAAAAAATACTGAACTGAGACCCATCCTTTCTCTTGCT